AAAACCTGCCCTTGCCTCCAGGGTCTCCCCGTGCTGCCACATCCCCTCTTCCAACCCAAACCCACCTGCAGATAGGCACCAATATGTTCTCAAAATTTTCAGCTGTTACTTGAGAAAATGGATTTTTGAGTACTCATGAAGCTGAAAACCTCCAACATCCTGCAACGTTCATTAACACGTTTGCTAATTGCTGCTGTTGGTTTTTTTATAGGGAGCCAACATGTCAGCATCTGAGCCACGTCCACCCATTTATAGGGAGCCAACATGTCAGCATCTGAGCCACGTCCACCAGGGGCTACTGAGGGAATTCCAGGGGCAAATCAGAGGGTCCCTGGGTCAGACCTGCCCCTCAAACCCCATTTTCTGCAGCTGGCAGCTCCCACCCTGCGCTGGGTGAATTCTCCTCAGCTTCTCCTGACGTGCCTGTGGCCTCAGCAGAGTGAGGCAATGACTGTACAAATAATACTTGGAAAAAAAATGTGTTTTACCTGATTTCCTCCCATGCCATGGCAGTTGAAAATCCCCACTTTCTCATTCTCCTTCCTGCCCATGTTGTCTAAACACTGGTTGGTTTCAACGTTCCTGATCTGAAGAATGAAAGGGGAAAAAAAAAATCCTCTAAATATCATATCTGGGCACACTCTGGCTCTTCTCCAGCCAGCTGCTGACCAACCCCTCCAGGTCCTTTCCCACCAGGCACTTTCCAGCCCCTCTGCCCCAGCCTGGAGCTCTGCAGGAGGTTCTTGTGACCCAAGGGCAGCACCCAGCCCTGGGCCTTGTTGATCCTCAGCCCATGGATCCAGCCTGGCAGGATCCTTCTGCAGACCTTTAGGTCTAAAAATCCATCTTGCTGCTCCACTGGCAGCTGGACCAGTCAGGTACAAGTTTTAACTCCCAGATCCTGCCTGAACTGCTGTTTCCATGGGAACTGAGCCCGTGTTGGTAAAAATAAGGTGTTTTAATAACTATTTTATTACTTTCTCATAGTTTTATTTTGCAGCCTGACAATATCATGCAGAACCCTATTATTTGACACTTGTTAGACGAGTTCTTTCCTTGCTGTAAAATCATGTTTCACTTTATTTTGTCATAGTTAAACTGGAAACCCTACCATGGCTTTTATTTTTCACTCCAATTGCAGCCTTCAAGGGTAAATTACTTCCCTGGATGTAAAAAGCCATTTGCTCCTTTGATTGCTTTTCTATCTACAGCTATCTTTAAATCAAACCATTCAAGAGCTTTTAAAAGCCAGTGGAGGTGCAACTCAATAGAGGGTTTTTTAAGAGTGAATTAGCTGAATTTTGAAGAGGTTTTAGGTCTTGGTAGTACTAGAACCACTGGATTATTAGGAATGTCTGTGGTATTTTGCTCCAGGCAGCCTTGCTGGAAAACAGCATCAATGAACAAACACAAACCCTTAAAAGAAAAAGCTTTTTTTTAAAAAAAAAAGCTTTTTCTACTCTGTATGTAACCAATGATGCAAAGTTCCCTTCAGCTCCTGTGTGTTACTGAATTATTTCCAAATATGAATCCCAAACCACACCCTTCCAACACGCTGCTCAACTGGAGAGGAGTTTTCAATGGTGAACCCCAACACTCAGAACAGCAACGAGCCCTGAGGAAAGGCTGAGAGGAACTACTCCCTGCTGGCAATGAAGATAAACAGGACTTCACTCCTCCCTCCACACCCACCTCACCTCCTCAGCACCTCCTCCACCTGCCCAGGTTGTACCCAGCCACGGGAGATGGTCCCTACCTCCCCCAGGGAGTAGTAGCGCCGGGGGATCTGGGAGTCAGGGTAGATGTTCTCCAGGTACCAGGAGAAGGGTTTGCACTTCAGCTTCTCCCTCAGGGCCTTCCTGACGGACACGTCGCCGTAATCCACCTTCACCACCCCTGGATTGGGGAGAGAAGAGCTGATCAAAGCTCAGCTTTGGTGAGGTCAAACCACCGCTGCTCCTCCGGCCGTCACCAAGCCCCCGTCCTGACACCCCGCAGCAGGAGGGGAGGACCTGCAGAACTCCACAGGCATTAAATCATTAATTCAGCACATGCAAATCCTTAGAAAATGATTTATTTTTTTTATTTTCAGGTCATTTATCACTCCAGAAAGGCAGGACCACTAAACTCCTTGATTTCTTTGTATTCCAAAAGGACAAGGAAATCGGTTTCTACTTTTACAAACCACTTTTTCCAAAGCATCTTGCTGGTGTTTTCCAGCAGCCTCTCCTGAGAGAAACAACTCAGACCAGGCGTGGCACCAGGCAGGGAACTACTGGCACATTATCCTAAAGGGAGGAGACATCACATCCTGGCACAGATAAATTGTCACCATGTCTGCTGACCCTAAGCCTGGGCACCAGAGGAGGCTCCAGAGGTGCTGAGGGGCTGGAGCATCTCTGTGCCAGGCCAGGCTGAGAGCCCTGGGGCTGCTGAGCTGGAGAGGAGAAGCCTCAGAGGGGATCTGATCAGTGCTGAGCAAGAGCTAAAGGGCCCCGGGGGGCAAGAGGCTGGGGCCAGACTCTGGTCAGTGGTGCCCAGGGACAGGACAAGGGGCAACGGGCACCAACTGGAACCCAGGAGGGGCCACCTGAGCAGGAGGAGAAACTTCTTTGGGGTGAGGGTGCAGAGCCTGGAGCAGCTGCCCAAAGAGGCTGAGCTGAAATCAGCTTTGCTTTCAGAAAAGAGAATTTATATAACTAACTAACTGTTTTCCAGGTAAGCTTCTATGGGCAGAGGGGAGTGGGGGTCTGCCAGTGCTGCCCCTCCTAGAAGAAGAGACACGTTCCACTGCTATTATTTGCACTACTCAATCCTAATTTAAAATTAAGTTAATCTTCCTCATGGGAAGGCACTGGAGATGTTTGGAGAAAAGCAATATCTGTGTTTTGTACTGATTTGTACCGTGGGGATCTGAGGAAGCTCAACATGAAGTAAAAGGATATCACCATGGTGGGTTTCTGAGGGGCAAACAACAGGTCCTGCCCCCACCACATGGACACACTTTGATACTGGAGGTACCAACCCAATCAGAAACCCTGTCTCAATGAAAACACACCATGGATTCACCAAACACTGTTCCCATTTCACCTGACAGTTCCCACAGGGATCTCTGTTCCCACACTGGGCTCAGCCCTGAAGCTGCTGAAAGAGAAGCAGCAATAAACCATTTTCCACTCGACCTGACTCACCTTCATTCTTGAGCTTTCTGTAATCAGAGAAACTCCAGCAAATTAAATTCTGGTTTTACCTTTTAACAACACTTGGCAGGAGAGAGAAGGAGTCTCTGGAGGTTTTGGCAAGCTCACCTCATTGGGTTTGCTTTATCTTAAGGGTGGTCAGGTCTCAGCATCTCCTGAGAGGCAGAGACCATGGCCACTGTGTCCCCAGTCTCCAAGGCACGGGCATCAGTGCCCAGAAGAACAACCCTACCCTGGGCTGCCCCCCAGCAGGGTGGGCACAGGGCAGGGAGGGGATCCTGCCCCTCTGCCAGCTCTGGGAGCCCCCCCTGCAGTGCTGGGGCAGCTCTGGAGTCCTCAGCCCAGCAGAGCCAGGGAGCTGCTGGAGCGGGGCCAGAGGAGCACCAGCAATGCCCCGAGGGGGGAACCCCTCTGCTGGGAGCCCAGCAGGAGAGAG